GGAGATTTAAAAGACCATATTGCCAAAGATCTCGCAACACTTGTTCCCTAGTCTAATGGAATATATGACTTGTTGACAACTGGCAAGGGAGATAGCTTATTATTATTATTAGTGGAGGTGGGAAGGTTGTGTGCATGTATGTTCTTTGTATAAGAGTACCCATGTGCATTTAATTTCAGAAGCCATGTTCCCCAAATTGAGGTTAAAATGTTAATGATTTTTCCCCCGTTCAGGATTAACACTGCCTTGGAACCTGCGTGGTTGGTTTCTGCAGTTCTTTTCCTGCTACAGAACCAGCAGCCCAAGCGTTTTCGCTCAGAAGCAGAGGCTGGAAATGTTATTTTTCTCGCTGGGGGATTTCTGGAGGTTCCACTCCAAAAAAAGTAAAGTCTCCAAGCTCTGCTCAAAGACGAATCCCACTGTGCCCGGTAGGATTTGCTCACTCGATGGTGTGGGCTGGGCTGCAGCCGACACGGTCTCTATTTTGTCCGGGGCTACGTGAAGGAAAGGTTCCATGTTCTTGCCGGGGTAAGGCATGGAGGGCTTCTCCGTTCTTAGGAAGAAAGTCGTCTTTTGAATGTTTGCGCAATAAAGAGGAACCGTTCAGGAGCAAAGAGCAGCTGCAATGGGAGGGGGAAATGGTTGGCCAGCAGAGATGTCTGGTCCAATCCCAGTTCAGCGCAGGGCTCGGTGGCTGCTGCTTCTTTAAAACAAAAGCAACCTGTCTAAGCCTGCTTTTAGAAGAGAGTGTTTGTATCTTTACGTAGTTTGGAGGTCAAGAGGAGAGTCCCACGAGGTTCATTGGCTGCCCTGCCAGGTGTTGCCCAGTGGCACCTGCTGTCCACTGCCATTGAAGTGGAATGCCCAGCATCCCATAATGGGTGCCAACAGGCCAAGCAAGAGGGCAAGAGTGGGTATCCGTGCACACAAAAGCATTCACCTGCAGTCATTCTTACGCTCACGTTTGCTCGTCCAGGCTTAGCTGCGGAAGCCAAGCCTCCCCAGCATAACGCCCTTCGGATGTATCAGCCAGGTAGGTTAGGGATGGTGGGAGTTGAAATGCAACATATCCTGCAGGGCAACCAGTTGGGGAAGGATAGACTGCAGTAACCCTGTCTTGAACTTTTAGTGAATACCAGGATTTAAAGTTATGCTGATTCTGTTCCCTGAATTACTTCTATACAGGGCAGTTACGCAAAGTGTTATCTCCTTTTCCTCTACCATTTTGTGTGTCAGCTCATCTTGATGAGCATGCCTACATATGAATAGCTTATCATTGTAGCCTGTATAATTAAATTGTAAACCGCCCGGAGAGTGCTTGTAGCACTATGGGGCGGTATATAAGTCCAATAAATAAATAAATAAATAATACTTTGCGCGACTGCAACTCTGGATGGTTCTCATACATACACTCTTTCTTCTTCAGATACCCACTCTCAGCCCAAAGATGTTGAGGGCATAAAAAGAACTCTGATAGATCAGACCCCAAAAACCCAGCTGGTCCCAAATCTGTGGCAACCCGGAGCTCACAACATGAGGGGCAGCTCAGAACTGTTAAGAGAGGCTGGCTTTGCAGTGCGTACAAAGACGGGGTGCTTGCATTGTCCGTTGATCAATGAAGGGTCCTTTAGTTGTTAGTCTCAAGAGACCTGTGAAACCTGCCCCATTCGATACTTGCGTAGGCTGTCACAGAGAGCAATGTGAATGTTTCCCTTTTTGACCTTCCCCAAGTTGCAACGAAATGAACGGGAACCTCCACCTAAAAGCAAGGCTTTTATCTGTGCTTGCCGCTTATCACTATTTGTTGCCAGTCACAACCCTGGCTAAGCCAGCTTGACAGGAAGCTGATGGGTCCTATTCCAACGGCATCATCATTAACTACGCTGAACGGACACCATCCCCAGTGTACATAAATACCCTGTTTCTCTGTTAAGCATGGAGATTCAGCTACCTGTCTGCTCCCCAAAGGTATCTAATGGCTTTGGAAGACTGTTAAGGCAGAATCAGCCCTTCCACTCGGTAGAGTAAAGCTGCCTCAAGTGGATGACTTTAGGTGCCATGAAAGGACAACACATTCTTAGTTGCTTAATTTTATATTGTCGCATTTGTGTTTATGGGGATTTCTGCCTCATGCGCCAAAATAACTTGCCCAGGCTTTGATACTCTTCATCTTGACTGAGGTCAGCGAGGGGTGGCATTTCTTGTTGTCTTTCTTGGGACATTCCTGTTTCGATGCAGGTGCCCGCCACAGCACCTTGTGGCAATCAGTAATGCAGGCTTTGCATTTGGGTAACCTTTTGGGTAGCAGCTGTGGGCAAGCCGTCGTCCTCCAGATGTTGCTAGACTGTATTTCCCATCAGCCTTAGCTGGCAAGTGTGGGATGGTGGTCCTTGCAATCTAACAGAAACTGGAGGGCATTCCCTCAGGCCCATGGCCTGGGCTGAATTTCTTGTTTTAAGCATGTCACCCGCCATGGGCAGCTGTGATTCTGAATGGTGTTACGATCAAACGAGCTTCTCCTCCCCTTCTTCAGTTTTTCCTCGTCATGCTCAGTTTTGACTAATGTGGGATGTTGAGGGGATGATATCATCCTTCTCAGCAAAAAAGCTCCAGCCCTATATGCCAGTCTTTGATGGTTTGATTATATATTTTCAGATTCCGTGAAAATGGCAGGTTCTGCCTGCTCCCGTTTTCCACACTCTTTGCTGCAAAGTTGAAATTTAGACTGCAATTTACTTGGGATAGAGACTGTTCCCTCTTTTTAATGTTAATCTGTGAAGCACAATACATAGGGCCAAAGAAAGGATACGGATTTGTGTGTGCACTGCAGCTTATCTAGCATTTTGAAACCCCACTTCTTTGGAGCCTCATTTATTTGTTTGTTTGTTTGCCTGCTTGCCTCAGTGAGGACTGAAATTCACATGACATTAAGCCCTTGTCATCTTTTGTGATTAGAGTTTCGTTCATGTTTTTCTTAGCGAGCAGCTGCTCAGAGAGATTTGCCATTCTACCTTTCCCACCTCCTGCTGAACAGCTGCCAAGAATTTGTCCCTGTTCTCCTTTCACTCCCTTCGAGATCAGCCATTGTAATACTATAATCTCAGCGAACAATAGAAATTTTGCAGAAAGACATTAGCCAAACTAGAGATGTCCAACCATTAGCTGCCCCAGGCTGCTTTTCAGACCCACAGACACTTTTTCATCATGTTTTTTCAAAGGCAAATATCCATAAATTCCAGTGCGCACCTAGGGATTTAAATAGAAACCAAGGCTTTTTATAATAATACTTTAGTTAAAAAGGTAAAGGTTCCCCTTGACAATTGTGGCCAGTCGTGTCCGACTCTAGGGGGTGGTGCTCATCTCTGTTTCCAACCCATAGAGCTAGCGTTTGTCCAAAGGCAATCTTCCGTGGTCAGGTGGCCAGCATGACTAGACATGGAACGCCATTACCTTCCCACCATGGTGGTACCTATTTATCTACTCGCATTTTTGCATTTTGCATGCTTCCGAACCGCTAAGTTGGCGGGAGCTGGGACAAACGACGGGGGCTCACTCCGTCGCGTGGATTCGATTTTACGACTGCAGGTTTTCTGACCTTGCAGCACAGAGGTTTCTAATCAGTTCTGATTTACAGCTATCCTTTTCAGGTTTTTTATTTTTTTAAAAAATTATATATATATATTTTTGGTAGAAAGTACTCAAAAGTGGTTTCTCATTCCTTTCTTCTCGCGACATACTGGAACTATGCAACTTGCCCAAAGCCAGACAAGCAAGCTCTTCCCGGATGCATCCACAAGACATCCCAAAATGCTTTTTAGCACACACAGGATATTAATCAATTGATTTTCTTTACAGTGTTGTGTTATAGTCAGAAAGTTGTTCTTTTTGGCAAAACTATGACTTCAGAAAGGTTGGCTGGATAGCTCAACTCTGCAGAGCCAGAGTTTGGCTCTTCTCCTTGGAGCGTGTGCCTCTTGGAAAACCCTGAAAAGGGTACCCAGAAGTCAGAATTGACTTGATGGCTAATGATGATGATGATGACGACTTCAGCACAACCTTCCTGAAAGCAGAGGTCTTTGCATCAATGTTTTAAAGACATCCTAACTGTTATGAATCAGCTAGCAGCTAATTTGCATTAGCTAATTACTCTGCCTGTTGTCAAAATGTTTTCATGATCAACACTTCATTAGCTGATGTTACTTTGACAGTTACCTATATCTGTATGTCATCCCCCCCCGCTGCCCACTTCCACAATGATAAATGGTGTGACCTTAGTATTGTTCTCCACATAGCTGACTGTAACCCCACGAAAGCTCACACTGTCGTTTTTAAAAGGGCCATGATTAACCTTGGTTTGGGGCTTGCTTTTTTAGTTTGGTTATAGATTCTTAGCGTGTTGAGAATCCCACCTTTGCATTTAGAGGTTATGGCTTCCAGGGTTACAGAGAGAAACAGCATTCTCTATTATACACCTTTTTTACGTCCTTCTCACTAACGTACACAGTTGTATGCCTTTTTTTTAAAGTTGAAAACCACATTGTGCTATTTGGAGAAGGGTCCATTCCAAATTATAACCTGTGTTCTGATATGGTCTGGGAAGTATGCCTCTGATCAATTTGTTTAAGCGACAGTTTGAATGAAATTCCCCTCCATCCCTGATTCTACTCAAAGAGTCAACAATGTTGTTGTTGGCATTTGTTATTGTTTTACGTATTTTAAATGTTTTCTACTTTGTTTCATTTGTGAATCTGGTTTCAACATTTCGCTTTTGAGCAGCTGATGAATACAAATTTTGGATAAATTATAAATGTTTTAAATGCCAACGTTTTTTTTTTTGTTTCCATGCCATGGAGATGACAAGCCCAGCTCTTGCTTGTCTTCTCGTCGCTGTTTTGTAAAGCCATCGGATCCTAGATGCAAACCCCCCTATTCCTGAACAGGCAAGTCTTTTCCAGTGCTCAGCGTTCGCTGGCTTAGCCTGATTCCGTTGTCGTTCGCAGGGTGACGACTGCTCCTTCGCTTGCGCAGCTGGGACCTATGGAGTCAATTGCTCATTGATTTGCAACTGCAGAAATGATGGCGCATGTTCCCCAGTGGACGGCTCTTGCTTTTGCAGAGAAGGTAAAGGTTGTTGTGCTTCAAAAGCGGGGAGGCATAAATCATGCTTTCTTATTGAACGGCTTCAGGTTGCGGAAGAGGCCAAGCTCTCCAGAGCTGTTCCTGTCATAAATGCCTCGGGGTGTATTTTGCTTGAGGGTGGCCGTGAGCATGGGCCTGCCCTTCAAGGCTGGTCTGGTTTACAGTTTTCCAGAGATCAAATGGCACTGGTGTAATCCTACCACCAAGACCTGATTTGCCCTTGCAGGCCCATCACTCCATAATGGCAGGCTCCAGCAGCCACTTTCACATAGGGATGGACAAGCAAAATATTACATATGTGCCCCCTCTCCAAATCCCAATGCAGCCTCAACTAATAAATTTTTTTTTAGTCAGAGAAAGTCCCCATCAGCCTTTTAGTGGGCGTAGGAGAAATTTTGCCACAGTTTGGACGTCACAATATCTTGCCTCCAACAGCTTCAAAATCTGTCATTTTTAAACTTGTCCACTGGAAAGTGGGGCAAGAGTGTTTCATGTTTTTTTTTAAAAGGAGGAAACTACTGAATAAAAGCAATCGCTTCAGAGAGTAGTATTGGGAAGGGAAAGGAAACTTGTTGTTTATTTATCTTAGGAAATGCACTTATGGACACTGCTGGGAGAAAAGGTTTCTAAACTTATTATTTACAGAATCCCCTAGAAAGAGCTGCCAGGTGGGCATGTCTGAGAAGATAGCCGTTACGGGCAGGTTATGCGCTGCCTGCCATTTTCTAGCCTAAAGAATAAGAAACCTAAAGTGGACTTAGAGGAAGAAAAGCAGCTGGGCAGCTTGGCAGGCAAGGCAGGCAGGCAAAGAGAGATGTTTAGAAGGGAAAAAAAAACATATTTTCCATAGGTGGGGCAAAGGAACAGGGGAGGCCCTTGGAGATCAAAGATGGGGTGTATGCAACTGTTGAGCCTTTGCAAGTTGCCTGCCCAGGAATCCCTTGCCCCAACTTTCCCAGAGGCGTTGGACCACAAGTCCCATGATCCCCCAGCAAGATGCCTGTGCTGGCTGGGGATGGCGAACCTGTGAACAAGGCGTTGGGTTTTGAAAGGGTCCCTATTGTACTTTAGGTGCAAACATGTTGTTTGTGTTGAACGGTAAATGTTAAACCTCTGCCTGAGCTCCATGCAGGGAATTCAGCCTGAAACTGGGTAAGGCTTGATGTGTGATGGGGATGAGGGCAGGGCCAGTCATCATCCCCATTTGTGTAAAAGCCCTGCTGCCCTCCATCTCCATCAGGCCCTTAGCTTCACCTTTTCCCAGCAGAACTCTTCTCAAGGGGCTTGTGAGCAGGTCCAGCTGAACTTGCTTTCAGTGTTCCCGTGTCTGGGCAAGCTGTCCAGAGCAAGGAAGGTTGTGTTTTAAAAGGAACTCTTCCTGTTGCCCATTGCTTCTCTTGCTGCTCTGATCGTACAAGTAATTTCTTGCACTGCACGCTACTAACATATCATGTTGATGTTACCTAAAGGCCTGAAAAATACCCTCCGCTGCCCAATTCCAATGTTGCACCTTAGAAATGTTTATAGAAATACAAAAAGCAAAAACTAAAGAATACTTCCTTGAGTTTGACGTACAGCCTGAAACAATATGGCAAATATGATTTAAATGTCATTTAATTTTTGAAGGAAAATAGGTATTGCTTATTAGCTTAAAAAGTGGCTTTATACCTAATAATTATATTATTTGTATTGAAATGTCACTAGTTACAGGTTTCCAGATGGGACCACACCACAAGTCCCATGATCCCCCAGCAAGATGCCTGTGCTGGCTGGAGATGGTGAGAGGTGCCATCGAACCTGTGAACAAGGCGTTGGGTTTTGAAAGGGTCCCTATTGTACTTTAGGTGCAAACATGTTGTTTGTGTTGAACGGTAAATGTTAAACCTCTGCCTGAGCTCCGTGCAGGGAATTCAGCCTGAAACTGGGTAAGGCTTGATGTGTGATTCCCCCAGCAAGATGCCTGTGCTGGCTGGAGATGGTGAGAGGTGCCATCGAACCTGTGAACAAGGCGTTGGGTTTTGAAAGGGTCCCTATTGTACTTTAGGTGCAAACATGTTGTTTGTGTTGAACGGTAAATGTTAAACCTCTGCCTGAGCTCCGTGCAGGGAATTCAGCCTGAAACTGGGTAAGGCTTGATGTGTGATGGGGATGAGGGCAGGGCCAGTCATCATCCCCCTTTGTGTAAAAGCCCTGCTGCCCTCCATGCCCATCAGGCCCTTAGCTTCACCTTTTCCCAGCAGAACTCTTGTCAAGGGGCTTGTGAGCAGGTCCAGCTGAACTTGCTTTCAGTGCTCCCGTGTTTGGGCAAGCTGTCCAGAGCAAGGAAGGTTGTGTTTTAAAAGGAACTCTTCCTGTTGCCCATTGCTTCTCTTGCTGCTCCGATTGTACAAGTACAGTGGTGCCTCTGCTCCATGAGATCTGGAAGAAAGTGTAACGTCACTTCCCAAAGACAACATACAAATATTTTAAAGAATCAAACAAATACCAAAAATGTTAGAGTTCCTGAAGGGTGGATCAGTGACTTCTTATGTGCACTTGTGTTTTTTGCATATTGTATGGAATAGCCTTTAAACACAGACTTTCCCATCACTGCAGACACCGTGCTTTGGTCTTTCCCTATGAAATGATTTTCACTCCAGCACTCATATAATGCAATTTAGCGGCACAGTGTGGAGGAATCAAGTCCTTGTATGTGCATATTAGCCCCAAAGTCTTGCTTTACTTGTTGAATTTATATCTCTGAGGTTACTGCCATAACCTCTGCTCCATGAGATTTGGAAGAAAGTGTAACATCACCTCCCAAAGATCTGCCTTCATCATGTCTTTAAATCATGCTGTGTTCTGCAGTTGGATACAAATCCTGTCATTCAGATGTAATTTTGACGTGTGTTTCATGCACATGCAATGACATTCCCTTTTAAAACTGCATGTATTTTCCGAGAGAGAGAAAGAGAGAGAGAGAGAGAGAGAGAGAGGAGATGCAGCGTGGGAGGTAGCAGCTGCTGCAGTTGGATACAAATCCTGTCATTCAGGTGTAATTTTGACATGCAATGACATTCCCTTTTAAACCTGCATGTCTTTTCCAAGAGAAAGAGAGAGAGAGAGAGGAGATGCAGCATGGGAGGTAGCAGCTAACCCATCTGCCTTGTGCTCTGTCCTCTTCAGGGTGGCAGGGGGTGGACTGTTCGATCCCATGTCCAAGTGGCACTTGGGGTCTCAACTGCAATCAGACGTGTTCCTGTGCCAACGGAGCGGCCTGCAACCCTGTGGACGGCGTCTGCCTGTGCTCTCCTGGGTGGCAAGGGGAGTTCTGCGACCAGCCCTGCCCTGTAAGTCTTCCTGTGGCTTCTTAGCTCGTACACTCGCTGAATCAAGCTGGACCCAACAGTGCAGCAGAAAGAGAGGCTTTCAGCTGGGCTTTGAGCACCACATATGAAAATGACCAGAGGAGCAATGAGGATGTAGGTTAGACAATAGAAGGTGGGTACCCAATATAACGTGGAGTGATGTCTTAAGAGAACTGGGTTTGAATCCCTACTCAACCATGGAAACTCACCAAGGAGAGGTGGTGCTGGCAAAACAATTCCTTAAACATCACACTTACCTTGAAAGCCTTATGAATGCACAGCTCCATTCTGACTTGATGTATAAGTCAGTTGATAGCACATAACCTGGTGGCAAATGTAGAGCTGATGGATCTCTGGAGACCTCTGGAAATCCCTGGGTCTGCTGGTAGATCTCTGGAGATCTCTGCAGTAGACTGGCAAGGATTTCTTACTCCAAAATTTGTAATAGCAGCAATATAACGCCTCCCTGCTACTGTAGTGAAAAAAGCTTGGAGCATGAGATGTCTGCACTTCTTAGGACTGAGACCTTTGTTCATTTCTGGTACTTTCACTCCTGGTCTCAGAATCAATTCTTTAATTTTAAGTACGATAATGGGGAAAGTTCCCTTTTTATACTGCAACTCCTGGAGTTCAGCCTGGCCTCTTGAGATGTGCAGCCCCAAAAAAGTAAGTTTCCCTTTTTATACTGCAACTCCTGGAGTTCAGCCTGGCCTCTGATACTTGCAGCCGAAAAAAGTAAGTTTCCCTTCCTCGCACAGAGGGCTTATCTAGACGGAGCATCTGTTCCTGCAAAAGCCACTTGTTCATTGCTGGTGGTTGCAGTATTTTCATCACCATTCAGAGAATGGAAGCCTTGATGTGACGTCATGAGAACCTTTTTGTATGACTTTTGGCCGGGGGGGGGAGGTTTGTATCCTCTGGCAAATATTGTTTCCCTCGTTCCTGGAGAGGCAGAGGTTAGCTGTAGAACACGATTCTTTTCCATGCCAAAGACTCCCAGTAGGAAGCTTTTAATTAACATGGAAATTTTGGGGGGGAAAAAAGCTCCAGAAGCAAAGCACCAGCGTTGAACTCCTAGAATTTTCAGGAAGAGTGGTTTTTAACGACATGAATAAAAGCAGACATGAAACCTGGTAGATCCAACCCTCTTTTGTAGCTAGCCATGACTAGCTGAGGTGGAATTTTGCCCCATGTGCTCAAACGTATCTCTTTTGCCCTAGGAGTCTAGTTCATAGATTTCAAGGTTCTAGGGGAAAAAACAGAGTGAGTTTGTCATGCTTACGTACCTCACTTTTAGCTTCACGGTCAGGATCCATTGACGATCTTTCCACCTTTAGTCACACGCTGAACATCTTGCTTGATCAAGCCAGCTTGGGTCCATCTCATCCAGCAGCAGCCAGTCAAAGAGACAAAGATGGCAGCTGCGCCCAGCATTAGGGAATCAAAGTGTCCTCCAAGAGATGAGATGTTGCCGTGGTATCTGCAGCCAAATATCTAAAGACACGTTACAAATTATTTCTGTGATAGTAGGATTATAGCTACAGTATATAGTAGAAATGCATATAGGACTCAGAGACTTTGTCTTACCCTTCTTTCTCTCTCTCTCTTTATGGAAGGATGGGACCTACGGCCTCAACTGTACTGAACGTTGTGACTGCAGCCATGCTGATGGGTGTGATCCTGTCACGGGTTACTGCTGCTGTCTTGCAGGCTGGACAGGTAAAACTGCACCCAACCCAGCGCTTCTGTTCTACAGCTCAATTTGCAGGCCATTCAAGAAGCACATGTACCTTCAATAGCCTTGTTTACCTTCATCTACAGGTTATCGGAAATTTCCCTGATATCTAAAGGGTGTTCCTCTTATTTCACTTTGAACTACAGTTTTGGTTTTCCATGCCTTTTGGTCCCTCCCTAAAATTTGGTTTTGGGTGCTTGGTGGGTTGATTTGGATTTTTGGACTTTTTAGTATTGGGGACTGGTGTGTAAATGCTGCAGCACTTACCTTATGAAGGGATGTTGACGGTCAGATTTCCTAATCTGAAACTTTTAGTGGTAAAACCCCCAATGTAGACATGAAGAGTAAATGAGTGAAGACCTTGTCAAAGTGGGGGTGGGTGGGGGTGAAGACAGGCAGGGAAAGCAAAGACTGAGATTCTTATTTGGATGTAGAAGTGCCAAAAAGTGTCAGTGAATACGATCCAGAGTGGGTGGGAAAAACACAAAGCCATTTGTGATGCATGGTGTTTCTGGAAGACTCCAGAGTTAATGAGACTTACATTGGTGTTTAAGAGGCATGTATTCCCAGGGCAAAATGATTCTGAGAGGGGAGGGGGTAGTTTGAGGTCCCTCTTAACGAAGCTGTCTTTATACTTGGACTCTGTGGGATCATTTTAAAAAGTACAGAATGTGTTTCTGGATGGAGAATTCAACTTTCTTTAAAAGTAGGTTTCTTGCTAGTCCTCATGGGGTTGGAAGATTGCCCCGTTTAACATTATTTCAGGGGTGAACAACACTTAGCCAACTATGAATCTGTTTGGTTGAAAAAGCCAGCGGTTTCTGCAGTAAGTGGCATTATTTTTAGAAAGGCTGGTTCAACTTCACTGCTATGATAGCGGAGTCACACCGAGCAGCAGATGTGTCAGTGGCGAGGCATTCTCAACAGGTTGTCTTGAGAAATGTGGCTGTTTTCTGCCCAGTGTAAAGGTAGGAAGAGATCTGAAATGACATCACAAGGAGCCTCTGCTGTGCATTCTGGGCACTCGAGTGCTGGGCCTTAATTACCGGGCACTAGACAACTTTCGCCTCCTTCTTGCCATGTTGGGGTGTCGTCAGAACATCAGTAGGTCCTCCTGAGGACACTGTGAGGAGCGGTGGCAGAAGAAGCTTTGTGTAATGTTCCACAATAAAAAAATATAAGTTTTTTATAATTACACAGCAAGAAAGGAAGAAAACAGAGGGTAAGAAGAAAGAAAGAAAGAAAGAAAGAAAGAAAGGAAGGAAGGAAGGAAGGAAGGAAGGAAGGAAGGAAGGAAGGAAGGAAGGAAGGAAGGAAGGAAGGAAGGAAGGAAGGAAGGAAGGAAGGAAGGAAGGAAGGAAGGAAGGAAGGAAGGAAGGAAGGAAGGAAGGAAGGAAGGAAGGAAGGAAGGAAGGAAGGAAGGAAGGAAGGAAGGAAGGAAGGAAGGAAGGAAGGAAGGAAGGAAGGAAGGAAGGAAGGAAGGAAGGAAGGAAGGAAGGAAGGAAGGAAGGAAGGAAGGAAGGAAGGAAGGAAGGAAGGAAGGAAGGAAGGAAGGAAGGAAGGAAGAAAGAAAGAAAGAAAGAAAGAAAGAAAGAGAGGAAGAGAGGGAGGGAGGGAGGGAGGGAGGGGAGCAAGAGATGGGGTTGGAATAGATAGTACTGCATATCTGAATCTTTGTGCAGGACAAAAAGATATTATAAGGTGGATCACCATTGCAAAAGAAACAATGAAGACAACTGCACTTTGCCTTCTTAGAGGAGGATCAGCGTCCTTCTGATTGATCGGGATCATCCATGTGACCAATTCAGGAAGTACTGCCATCACCTCTTCAACCTGCATTTGCCCTGATATCATCCCAGTCTTTTGATGTGGTCCCTCACTGAATTATTATTATTTTAGAAAAATGTGATCAGAAAAAGAAGCTGACATGAAAATTCCAACCCCAGGGAAATAAACCCCAGTGCCCCAAAATGTAGAAATTACATATTCCCATCCTGAAATGTTTGCAAGTAAGTATTTAGCAATATGTTGTGAAAATGCTTTTCACTTGTAGAAAGTAAGCATCTCCCAGAATAGATCAGCCCATGTCCCCTTCTTTCTCACAGCTTTCTATCTGTAGGGTTGGCTTATAATTCAAAGAAATGAGAAATTCCCCTTTCAAGCAGTACAGAATTAGTGATACAATGTATTTCTGAATAATTGGGTCTAGTATTTGTGTACTGAAAAAAATATCTAAATGATGAGAGTCCTCCAGTGGATTTATGCCAGCCAAGTGTAATTGCCACTAATTAATGAGTTGCCTCCCATGTTCCGAGTCATGTAACACATTGTGTGACTGGCATTCAACAACAACTTGTTTATTAGCAACAATTTGCCACTGCAGATTAGGTTTACCAGTGGAATAAATCCAGCACCGGAATTTGGGTTGAAGTCTAGTTATAGATCGCTTCCTGTTTGGTCCAAAGCCCTTAAAGACAGCATCAAGATTTCTTCTTCTGTTTATGAAATTTATAACTGAAGCAGATCCTCCCAGTAAATAATATTTATGGTATCCAGATACAAGGATTGCATGGCTAACATTGCCACTCGAAGCTGTGAACCACAACATGTGGTCCATTTCGCAAGCAGAATGTTATAAATAATAGAAAGTAAAAACTTGGAGGCAGGGGGGAGGAGTTGCTGCCCTCAATTTTGTACTAATTAGACATGGCCTAGAAAAGATCAGAAAAGTTCAGGGACTTCTGAGGCTTTTCCTTTTTCAGCTCACAGGGCTGGGGCAATTCAAATGACTCTCTGATCCTAACGGCCAATGAAAGTCTGACCTAAAAAAGAGTTATGCAGTCTGTTCCTCCCCTCACATGGGACTGGCATTGATGTCCATTTCTGTAGAAAAGATCAAGGAGAGGGGGAAAATAACCACACTTTGTGTGGGTGAGGAAATGCTGCTCTTTCTTTGCAATCATCAGAGACTAATAATTTGAACGAAACAGACAGGAAAACCTGGGAAAGGAAACTTGGATAAAAGTAAACTGGGTGGTTATCCTGCCTTTCTTCCTCCCTTTATTCATTTAGATTTCCCATCTAACTCATTGAAGCAGGTAAAATAAAGTTTCTGAGAGGACATTTCTGTATGTTGGACATGAGAACCAAGAAGAGTGCCATTTCCTTCACTCTTTGTCTGCAGAAGACTGTTTTGCACAAGACTTACGAGGAAGTAATTTCTAGGTGATAGAGAAGTAATACTTCCAGTCCTTTAGCCATGGAGTTTTCAGGGACGTGCACCTTCTTATTTGGAACAGTGGGGGCACTTAGCCTGGCCTGTACTACCTTGCAAACTGCCTAATTGGGCTGTGGTGTAGCCCATCAACAGTGCTGAAATGAGATTCAGCTGGCAGTCCAGTCTGCTACTGCCCATGGGTACAGGAGGGGACACCTCGAATAGCAAAATGTCCAGGACTGGCTCTGGGAGACTGCCAGCCCTTGAGTTTGCTTCAGACCCCTAAACCTAGATTAGAGAGTATGTTTGTGCAATGCATCCAAGGGGAGGCTCAATGCATAAATGGAAAAGGCAACGTTTGCAAACAAAACCTCTGGTATCCAACTGGGCTGCTGCTATTGTTCCTTCCTTCCTTCCTTTCAAATATTTATAGGCCACCGTTCTTCTCTAAAGGGACGTGGTGGTGCTGCGGGTTAAAAATAAAAAACCCTGGAAAGGGTAGCTGTAAATCAGAACTGATTAGAAGCCTCTGTGCTGCAAGGTCAGAAGACCTGCAGTCGTAAGATCGAATCCACATGACCGGAGTGAGCCCCCGTCGCTTGTCCCAGCTCCTACCAACCCAGCGGTTCGAAAGCATGCAAAATGCAAAACTGCGAGTAGATAAATAGGTACCACCTTGGTGGGAAGGTCAACGGCGTTCTGTGTCTAGTCACACTGGCCACGTGACCACGGAGGGTTGTCTTCAGACAGACGCTGGCTCTATGGGTTGGAAATGGAGATGAGTACCGCCCCCTAGAGTCAGACACGACTGGACAAATTGTCAAGGGGAACCTTTACCTTTTTCTTCTAAAGGATCCAAAGTGGCTTACAGCATTAAAAGAAGCAAAGTTAAAAGCTAAATAATAAATTATGACAATATTTTAAAAGGATTAAACAGAAACATTACAACTCATAAATAAGAGCAGATAAATAAGAGCAATATTAAATGGTCAAGTAAAACAAATAAATAGGAGCAATTTAAAAGCTCAAGAATAAAATAATCCTTTTTTTAAAAAAAATCCCCTTCGTCAACCATTCGTTTAAAGGAAATTCTGCCTGTAGAGAAAGATAGAGTTTGCAGAGTCTGGTTATGGAAGGACAGCAAAGATGGGGCTAGGGTGGGGCCACTTTATTTCTCTGCAAAGCCAGTTTTTGGATTTTAAAGCTAAAGGGAAGAAAATATGCTATGAAATACATTTTTATGGTATCAAGCAGTGCTTTTACTGAGATCTCTTGGCTGTGGCAGCAGGCCTGGATCGTTAGCTGATAGGAAGTGGGAAAGGCACTTGTGTGCTAAATGACTTACACAGTTCTGCAAATTGTCAGACTCTAGCCATGATGATCCTCGTCTTCGTCATTTAGTCGTTTAGTCATGTCTGACTCATTGTGACCCCATGGACCAGAGCACGCCAGGCCCTCCTATCTTCCACTGCTTCCCGTAGTTGTGTCAATTTCATGTTGGTTGCTTCGCAGACACTGTCCAGCCATCTCATCCTCTGTCGTCCCCTTCTCCTCTTGCCGTCACACTTTCCTAACATCAGGGTCTTTTCCAAGGAGTCTTCTCTTCTCATGAGATGGCCAAAGTACTGGAGCCTCAGCTTCAGGATCTGTCCTTCCAGTGAGCACTCAGGGTTGATTTCCTTTAGAATTGATAGGTTTGTATGATGATCCTAGGTTACAGGAAAAAGAGGGCAGGGCTTTTTAAAACTGTTGTATGAAGGGTAACCA